TGGATCCCTGGTCACGTTAGGATAATAGGGAACGAAATAGCTGACCAGGCAGCAAAGCTCGCCACAAAGAAAATTGAGGTAGACGTCCTCGCACTCCCAACAAACGATGCCAGGCTGTTTATCAAACATTGTATTGTCAGTGCATGGCAAAGAGAGTAGCAGAACTCATTTTAAATTCAAGAGAATCAATGATTCCATAAAGCCTTAGTCTTCATTTCGTGGTTCAAGTCGCGAGGAGATAATTCTGACACTCCTTCGGGTGGGTCACTGTCATTTGTCTCACGGACATCATCTCTGCAGTGATCCACCCCGTACTTGCGATAGCTGCGAGACGGATTTTACCGTGAAACATGTTCTCCTAAACTGTTGTAAGGTAAGAGATAGCCGGTGAAGGCTTCACCTTGCTAGCTCTCTAGTACAGGTACTTGGAAATTAATCTTCTCTCTGCTAGCTTTTGAGGTTTTTACGAGTCTGATATTTACAGCTGTATCTGAGAGAAGAGGATTATGCCAATTATTTGACTTATAATTGGATAATCTAATGTGTTCTCTTATGCCAACTCCTTTTGAAAATAATTGAACGCGTTTATTTTCAGTTTTACTTACATTTTACCTTTCATTTAAAAAATGTTTTAGTCTGGCACTACTGAAGTGCGTATTGCTCTTTAAACAAAATAATCGTATTTTTTGATAGAAAATGTAAACCCCCAAAGTTTGAAAGATTGAAAAATTGATATTTTTGAACTCAAATTGAAATAAACACTATTCAGTGTTTCAATAAAACTCTTTTGAGTGTGTGGATGTGCAGATATGTTTTTGCGATTGTCACTGGCAGCTAGACCACTTCCCGTGTACCAATCGAGACGTATGACGTGTCATTCGACGCGACTCGGCCTCCTGATGGGAAACTAATAATTTGTTTTTGGATTCCGCAAGAAGATTTAAAGAAATTTCCAAAACCGTCTTTTTTCGTGTTTTGGCGCTGTGATCTTAGTGATAATGCCAGGAATTAAACCAACGCCTCCTAAATCGATCTCTGTAGGTGGCGTTGATTAAATACTAGAACTCAAAGGTATTTTTTGCTTAATACGAAAAAATTCTCTTTCGCTACGTTGGCAACGCTGATGTTGACATCTTTAAGTGAACAATTTAATTTCCAAGTCAGGGTAGCCAGATTGGGTGGAATTCCGCTTTTTGGACTGCAAAACGGCTCTCTGGGAACAAAAATTGACTTCGCGGAATACCGCCCAATGGGCGGAAATGCAACGAAACATGTACGATTTTGGGGGGGGGGGTTCAGATTCCGACTAAACAACGTCGTCCACTATGAGTTTGGTTTTTTAGTTTTTTTAATTAATGCATGCTTTTTCACTAATTTATTAATTCGTTCAAAGGTACTTCGAGAAGTGAGTAATGTTAGTTATGAGACCTCTTAGTGTAGTGTGTGTTCTAGCAGTAAGAGCGTCTTTGTTGTGCACAGAATGAGTATGTAATATTACATTGGCAGTACTTGCAGTTAATTTTAGAACACATCATTTAAAATTAGTCGTCTTTTGCAAGTACGGTGTCACTACCAGAAAAGTGTGGCACTGGTTTCAAACCAACAAAACTCATGTTTGTGCGTTTTACCAAGCAGGTATGTTTCCGAACACCAGAATCGGAACCTGAATCACAGGACGTAGAAGAGGCCAGCGACGAAAATCTTGTGGAATTTGTCAGGATACTTGCGGAAGTGGACTTCGCCAATGAATCTTGCGTTTAATTTGAGCTACCGTCATCCAACAACCATTTCGATGTGATAAATAAAATGGTCTCATTTGAAAATAATAATTTTATCCCCTAAAGTACTACTCCCATCTGCTGAAATAATAAGAATAGCCATAACCCATTTTTAAATATTAAGATATTATTATTACAACTTACTATTACAAAAACTTAATATTACAAAACTTATTACACTAACTTATTATTACAAAAACATATGTGAACATTTAGTTAATAATTTATGTAAAACAAAATAAAACGAATCAAGCATTTCGTAGGTCACTACCTCGAAAAACCTGCAAATATTATTGTTAATGCGAATTCAAATTTCCTGCTTGAAAAGTTAAATTTTCTTTATTGGGCGGATTTACAGCCATCTAACGGCGGATGTTTGTTCGAAGCACCTGGCAACCCAGTATCAAGTAAATCGCGCATGTAAAGCATAGAGGAGAGATACAATATCTCTACTCTATAATGTAAGGTCGAATTATTATCGTGTTTTTAAAAATAAATTTGCTAAAACCTACGAACAGTATCGCCTTGAAACTTATCGAACTTGAAGAATTTCAAGTTAATGAAAGTTATGTTCGACTACTCACTTTTACGGTCTTACATAAGCGTAAAAATACCGATTTTCAGATAAACGTGATCACAATTTATTCTTATTCCACTTTACTTCTTATTCAAATGAACATACAAACAGTCACCTTTTAATGTTAGATTCGCATTCAAAACCAATAATAGAGCAATTGCAGAAGAAGAAGTGAACACAAATTTGACTGAGCTTGAGCAGTTCTAATCGATTCAAAGAACATTAGGGAAGAAAAATATGGAAGCTTTAAGAATATACGGGGAAGAATCGAATGTAATTGTAAAAGATATTGCATTAGAATTTTCGGAACTGATTGGGAATGATCTGCATCTAGCATTTGTGCTATGTGCATTTGTTGTGCATAATCGCAATACGGACAGACACGTCCGTTTTCGCCGTCAATCTATTTTTCGGCATCCGCGTGTTCGAGAATTATTTTCTAAATTTAGCGACTTCATGTATCCGCTTTCGTTACCAGGGCACTGTAATAAGAGTTTTTCTGCCGAAATTTCGCCCTTTTTCGCGCAGCATTACATAACTAATGGTAGAAATACCTTCGGTTGTTAAATGTCGGCAGCCTGCCTTCGTATTACTCGTGCATGTTTTCTTGATACACGTGCTTCCTAGTCCACATCCAACGCTGAATTGCACGGCACGTAGAGATACTTTGGTTCGACTCGGAACGGCACGTACCAACCACGGCTACAACCTCCTCGTACTTTCAAAACAATCGTAGCATTTCTCCTGGCACACTTTGGCGAGTTGGTACGCCCTTTTAAGCCAGAGCCCTCAAGTTCAATTATATACATTGAACTCTCACATGAACGAACGTCTTGGCAAAGCAATAATTAAACATAATAAATAAATAAAGATATTGTCTGGTATCAATATTTTAAATCAGCTTATGATCATTTCGATCGCGTAGCGATCATCCTCAGAGCTTGCAGCTTCTGGGCCGAAAACAAAGTTCTGCAAACAAAATGATCATAAGCTGAATTAAAATATCGATACCAGACAATATCTTTATTTACTTATCATAATAAAAAGGTATCTACCTCACTAACAATCCAATTAATTAAACATAAATTTACTTTTTACAAAATATACGAATTTCAAGAGTTTTCCTCCAGTCAAAAAATTTACAATAGTTATGTTCAATTTGTGAGCATAGTTTGCTCTCAGTCTCAACTACATAAATTATGTTACTTTTCTCCCTGAATATCTCGTCAAATTATTCAGTTCATTCAATCCACAGGCTCGATCACTACTTATGTGATAATTCTAGAGGTCACGAGACCGTCGCTCTCAATGCACTTTGAAAGAATTCTCGTCGCCTTACCTCGTTACCTTGTGCTGGTGAGAGCCACGCTGTGAATCAATTAAAATCTTAGTATTATGAAGCATACTTTTCCCGATTCTCGTGTAATTAATCAAATGATTTTTTTTTTTTTTTTTTTTTTTTTTGAGTAATTTTGAAAATGGATCTACGACGTCAAAAAATATTATCCTCGGAATTCTGTATGTGTGTTTAATCATGTTGATAGTAGAATATACATTTTGAATAAAAAATTTCTTTATGCTTGTTGACAATTAATGTTATTTACTGTAGGACTGACACTTTTTCAAAACCGATGTCAGATATACGTACTTCAAATCCTGAGTTCGTCTCTCTGGCTAGGAAAAATACTTTCTTAAAAATTTCAAGAGGCGTCAGAATATTAATTGGTTACATTTATTTCTTTTAAAAAAATATTTGTGCATGTATTATAAAAGATAGAATTGTCACAGTTGATAGCTCTTGCTTTCTTCGTCTCTTCTGTCTTTTGTTTCAATGTAGCTCATAAAAGGAGGCAGGGTGGAGGGGAAATGAGGATCATGATGTCAAGATACATCTAATGTCAAAATAAACAATACATTTAACTGAAAGTTATTGTACTCATCTCGGATTTAGCTTCCTGCCTGGCTTAGCTCCCAGTCCCAACTTCCGAAAGAATTGATAAGAACTGGATAATGAACAACAAATCTTATTGATTCCTAAAGAATTGAAAGATCTTATGTGTATTGGAGGGGAGAATTTTATTTTCTTCCATTTTTGTTTTCTGGTGAATTAATATAAAGGAAGTAATTCAGCTTAGAACATCATGGAGCAATAGCATTGAATTTGTTTGCCGAAATATAATTTGTGAAAATGTTCACTTACAAGTAATATTACAGTATGAAATGTATGAAATGAGGTAATATAAACCCAATGATAACAGAAAAAAATTGAGAGTTCACACAACATTTATAAATTTGTACCGAAGGAGCGTAAACTAGACGTAAGGTAATAAATTATTAGTTTACAGAATTTGACTCGCTCCAGTGTGGGGTGAAACAGGACAGGAGTTAATTATTCGAAATTTTAAATCATGAGTGTATGATCCATTACGTAATGAACATTTTAATCGAAGATATTTAGAACTCTTCTCTTGTTTTTAGTTGTGCATGCCCATAGACCAATCCTGTGGTAATAATATATAATTTTGATTCATTTCTTTTTCAGGTAGGATTAAATTAAATATGTAAACAGCTCAAGCTTCATTCACATTTTCTCCTTTTTTCTGTAAAAAGTGTTCTTGAAAATTTATATTTTTTCTTCTTTACAGAATACACCACAGAGAGCCTTTTGTATCTTCTTTTTTGGGGTTCTATGGTTGCTGTAACATTTGGTACAATTATGATATACGGTACAGAGTTTGTTGACTATCCCAAACTCTGTGAAATAAGAGTCAGCCCACGGCCGAATAATGAAGAAAACTTCGGGTAGACGTTCTAAATTTATTCTTTTAATAGCAATATATTGAGTGAAAGGTATTAATTTACAATTATTGTCTACAGAGTGCAATCTTTGTTGACATTCCTGTAAACTATGTATGTTAATGTTTTCATTAGGATTTACTTTGTAAAGTTGCAAATTATGTATGTATAAAAATATATACAAATGTTATTATTGAGTTAAAGATGTAAATTATGTATATACATTAAAATTATGTTACTAGCGATAGCCTTCAGGGCTTGTCAATCCTTTGTCAAATACTTTATCCTATCCTATTAAATCATTTATCCTTGGTAATACGAGTGCTTTGGAAACTGCCGATAAATTCCGGATTCGGAGGGGATTTATCTCAGAAATTCCAAAGTATGGGTGGTATTTAATAGGTTTATTCCACGAGTGAAATTATGTTCTTTAGTGTTCCAAAATGCGACAAATATTGAAAATAACTGATAGCTATCTTAAAAACAAAGAGGTTATGTTGTAGTACATACGCTGTGTATTGGACATTGACATAGCAATCAATGTATACCTCCTCCTAAGATAGGTGAGTCACAGTTTATGATTAGCCAGTACGTAGAAGTGGTAAGAAAAATCTGATAGAAAAAGCAATAAACTTTTTGAGATAGACCACCCTGATTGGGGGAATTTTTATGTATAGTTAAGCACTATTGGTTTTAATTTCACGAGTGGAATAGTCAAATTAATTCTTTATCAAAAAGAAAGCAGCTACATCATCGTGAAATCTCATTGAAGTGATCCACTTCACAAAAATTTTCTCTCTCTGCTTTCCACATTTCTTAGTGTATTGCTATTTGTTATTTTTGCAATTTTTTTCAGAAATGCAATCATGAAATACTAAGAAAACACACTTTTTATAGAGAGGCTCCTATTTTTTTAGTATTTTCATGGAATGTATTTAAATTTCAATACCCTGTACAGTAAGAACATTAAATTTAAAAAGAGTAGATAATATTTTTGAATTATTAATATTAAAGTCACTAATTTATAGCTACGAGACTACAATTCCTACATTTCTTAGATTATACATGTTATTAGTTAAACAGTTCTGTATGTATGTGAAAATTATCTCAAATTTACACAGTGATTGAAACATCACTTGCTACATTTTAAGCAACAACCCAACTGTGTGAATTGTCCGTTTTTGAGGACATAAAGCCAAGAAGCAAGGACACATTTGCATTTAAAGCCAACCACAAGCATAACTCCTGTCATTTTTGTTGTTTCCTGGAAGAAAAAAATTATAATTATACATTGTATGTAATTATAGTGAAGGAGCTAATGTTTCGCGAAATTAAAATAGGTTAAAAAATCCAGACATTGATAATTTCTGTATTCTTATAATACTACTGATCTACTTGTAGTCCAGTCAGTATATGTATTTTACCTTGAAAAAACGACATAAAATCTTTTTATTTTGAGTATGTTTCATGTATACAGGCTTTAGTTAAAACACCAGGTTTTCAACCTGCCAGACCCTAGCTCTTGAACCTTAAGACGTATAGAAAAATGATTCCAATGAATTTTAAAGAAAAGAAAATTTCTCTTTTGAAGCTCCTCGTTCCACGGAGTTAACATTCTTACTTCCTTATTCAGCTAAAACCTTTCCTGTAATTGGACATGTTTCAAAAATGTGACTAGGTCCAATATAGACCCTTGTAGGATCATTTATTTCGCCCTACCCCAACTTTCGCGTATCAGTGTATCGGTTATTTCGTGTAATAGGTGTAATACTCGCTGACCAGGCATAGTGAACGAGAGACAGGCAAAGCTGTTTAAAAGATTTAAGTACTGCAGGAATCAAATTGCTTAGTTTTATTGTTAGATGGAATTTATATCAAATATTTGTTATAGAACAAAATTATAAACATAGTTTGCACAATATACGATAATCTAGAAGCTGCTACTTCCTCTCATGATTTACTGTTTATATTATTTAAATTATTCCCGCTTATATTTGAGTAGTATAGATGAGGTTTGCGGCTCTCTCACGCAACCAATTTTTATGAATGAGTTTTCTAAAGAAAGAGAATTTCACGGAGACGTGACGAACTTAAGTTTGAGCAAAAAATATGAAGGATTTGTTGAAAAAAGATGCATCTAAATATTACGCAACTTTTCTTGAACGATGGAGTGAAGAAATGAGGGTAGAGTGGGGGTATTAGTTATGAAATCGGCCGACTAGATTTTAGGAAGCAATGGCAATCTGTGGAGAATCAATCAATGCATTCGCATCTTTCTCAATAATTTGCGTTCAATCTCTGAAACCATAGATACACCACCACGCATGGGGGGGCGCTGATTGTATGGAGCACTCCATACGCCGAAAATATCTGTGTATGGAATTCTATATCCCAAAAGTATTGAAAATAAAAATTTAATTTTTTGGAAAACAGAGAAATAATACAATTTTTGAAGCAATAATGAAAATTTTTGTGATTGTAAAATATACACAGTAGTTATAAATATTATTACAATTTAACTGTGTCGCTGCGAGATTATCTCGCTGAGATATAATTGTTTATGTTTACGAATCATAATGTCAAATAATCAAAATGTAACATACATTTCTCATATAAACAAGAAACGTCTTTCTTTGACATAGCTAACATTCGAATAGCGAACTAAGTTAATTCGGCATAGTACGCCGACGATTTTACGTCTGTGCTTCAGATTTGAGTAAAAAATTAACGTGTTTTAATTGTTTACTTTCATTATCTTCAATTTCAATTTGCGCAATAAATATGAGTAAAAGAAAGAAAAAGGAACAATTATATCTTTTTTTCATATTCTAAGGTAAGTATTAGCATTTTCAAAATTATATACCAATAGTTTTGTTAAAAGCATTTATATTTTGTATGATTGTTTATTTTATTTAATTTAGGATACATCTACTTTGTCATCAGATATGCAATCCAGCACAATAAATAAGCCAGAAAATACTACAACGAAAACTCTTAGCCATTCTACTCCAGGTACATTTTAATTTAAAAATTATTAATTCTATATAAAATATAAATAGAGAAATGTTTAATTATAATAAATTTAAATTACATTTTTAATTTTTGAATTTCAGTACAAGTCTTTAATTTAATTTGCATTCAGTTGTATATACATTTTTTGAATTGCCTATAATACGGTAATATTATTTATATTTTATTTAAAATAATTATTTTTACGTTAATTTTCAGGATAAAAAATAACCTGCTGCTTTTAAACGTTGGCAAAATACTTATTAGTGGTTGACACTTAATGCGGAAATGAAAGCTACATGTTCAATTTGCATTGAAGCTAAAGAAAAACAGTTGCCAATTCATTCAAGTTCTAGCTGCCACGTATCTTTAATTCTATATACTCTCTGTATCTTTAAAAGCGTTCGTTAAAATGGCTTAAATTGTTGGAAAAATGCAGTCATAGCTTTCAAGAAACACGAATCTGGGGAATTAAATTTATCTTGGGCACAAGCAATATGCAGTTCAAAAAATAAAAGTGTGAACGATTATCTGATCAAAAACAAAAAGAAATGATGGACAATCAAACTGCTTTGGAAAAAATATTTAGCGCTGTAATTTTATTAGCAAGACAAGGTTAAGCGTTACGCGGAAGTGGCAATGAACAATCAAACATCATACAATTTTTACAGACAAGCAACGATTCTTATATGGGTTCGTAGGCTTCCGCGGCCGGAGTCGATGTATTCTTGACTATTCGGGATGAGCTTCGTCGCAGTTAATTGGACTAACATTTCGGCCATCTTGCTATGGCCTTCGCAGCTATACTGAATATACTGCTGAGCAGTATAGCTCTGAAGAAGGCCATAGCAAGATGGCCGAAACGTTAGTCCAATTAACTGAGACCCGGCTCATCCCGGATAGCCAAGAATACAACGATTCGGTGGAAATCGCCACTTGGTTAACTAGATCACAAAGTACGTAGTTACATCACGATATTATTAATGAAATATTGGAATGCATGTCAAAAGAAATCTTAAGACAAAAATTACAACTTATAAAGTCCGCAAAGTTGTTTTCGTTAATAGTAAATGAAATTTCCGATGCTTCACAAATGGAACAAGTATCAATTTGTCTACGGACTGTATTGGACGATTTAACAATTCAAGTGATTTTTGTTGGTTTTTATCAGACACATAGAACAACATCAAATGCTTTATTGAAAATCATTGAAGACATTTTTATGCGATTTGACTTAAGTTTTAATAATTTACGAGGACAATGTTACGATGGGGCATCTAACATGAGCGGAAAAATTTCTGGTTTGAAAAGTCTTATAATTGAAAAAGAACCTCGTGCTTTATTTGTTCATTGCACAGCACACACCCTTAACCTTGTTGTACAAGATGCAATGGAAGATGTCTATAATGCAAGAAACTATTGGTACCTTCAAAGAATCAGTAAATTTCTTAAGAAATTCGCCAAAGCGATTAGCAATCTGAAAAGAGTCTTATCATATCTCCATTTTGCCCAACCAGGTAAAAGATCTTATTAATGTTATAGTATACATATTAAAATTTGTATTTATATGAATGTCTTACAATTTCATTGTTTATTTAGGTGGTGTATGCGAGTCAAATCTCTTGAAACTCTTCAAGCAGGAGACAATTATAAAGCTGCTTTAACATGTTTCGAACTATTGGAATACGACAGACATGCAGACTCTAGCGTCTCCTCAAAAGCAGCTGGATTTCAAAGATTTTTGATGTCATTTGATTTCTTCATTTTACTGCATATTTCGATTGCAATTTTTGAAGTGTCAAAATGTTAAACATCCGACTTAAAAAACTTGAGTTGTGCGTAAATGAAGGTTATAAAATGATTAAAATTGTTGAAGATCAAATGAACGAAATGCGAAATTTACAATTTGAAAGTCTATGAAATAATGTTGTCAAAGAAGCGGCACATTTAGACATTGATGAATCGGAAATAAAACGAGCAAAGAAAGTTCTTAAACGGTATAAATATTCGTCTACAGAAACCGAACATAATTTTTCTAATGAGTCTTATTGTTATAGAAAAATATTTTTTGAAATGTGAGACCAAGTTCTGATGTCGTTTAGAACCCGTTTTGATTCTGATACTATGTCATTTTTAAATACATGCGAAAAATTTTATAATTGGAAAGACTTCTGAGGTAGATGCTATTGTGGAGTTTTATAATCAAAATGACGATGACGAAGAATTTAACTAGTAAGTTAAGTAAGTTCGAAGTAAGCTTATACTTCATCCCGACATGTTTTTAATTACAGCATCGAAACAAATTTATGCAATTACTTCACTCCGCGATATTGTAAAATTTTCGAAAGAATCTTCGGTTCTACATTAGTGCTATGAACTCGAGAAGTTGGTGAAGTTTTTACTTGTGCCGAATTTTCCATGTACTTGCGAAAAGTCATTTTCAGCAATGCGACGGTTAAAAAATTATCTACGAACAACAATGGTGTGTAAATGTTATTGTAAACTTTAAAAATATAGCGTAAATATCGTTTTTCATATAATTCGTATAATCTTGATCCTGTGAATTTTGCTGATGCATGACCAGCTAATTGTGGTACTGCTACATTATCTACAGGATCATAATTATACTGTTTATAACATATTTCTCTAAAATTATTAAACACATAGCTTAATAAGAGAGAATCTAATTTGAGATATAAACCGTGATAATCGACAATATTTTTCCATTACATTTAAAAATCTACAATAGTTTTACAAATTATAAACCTCTTTTATTATTTAAAACAGATCAATCTATCTTGTTTCTTGGTTAATGTCATAATTATCAAACCTGTCATTAGGATTATACCCTAATACTACATGTATATCTTCATTTTTCAATATTTTACAAATATTATTACATTTCTTGTTATCAATTGGTTTAGAAACTTGAAAATTAGTCATTTTAAATGATGTATCAGCGTTTAATCTACCATTTGCGTTGATAGGTTACAATTTTACTTGTATAGATTCTTTAGATATACAATGAGAGCACTATGCGTTATTCATTTCAGCTTAACTTGTATTTAAAAATCTATATGTATCAATATATCTTAATTCAATAATATCATCCACAGAGGATCATTTCGGTATGATTTGTTTTCATTGACCAAAGAATTTTCCCCCACATGTTATAACATTGATTTTTTCATTTAAACAATATCCACATAAGACATGGATTAGGCAATTGACTTACAAGTACTGTTTTAGAGAATTTTAATTTTTTTACGTATTTGGTGTAATCTTTAATTATGGATAATTTTGCTCTTTTAATAATGTATGAAAAAATATAGAATAATAATTTAAATTATGAAATAGGATGGGAATAAATTTTGGAAGGCGTAAATGTTAATTTAATACATTACTCGCTGCACCTCTTACTTCACCACTAATATTAGTTTTATAGTTATTAGTTAAAATTGCTATTACAAATATGTCAGGATGTAGCATGTCATAATCAGATTTACTCAATTCTGTTGTCCATCTGTTGTAATTTAATCTTTCTATGAAAATATTCTTTAGCATAATATTGACCCATTCTTATAAGTTCTGCATTAAACGCATCCATTAATTCTTCAATACTTGCAGTTCGTTTTAAATATTATTCTACTAATTCATAATAATCGTTTTCATCCTTATGGCATTAAGTTAGTCGTAAAACAAAAGCTATTAGGTTGATGTTCGTGAATATATTCTCAATTCATAAATTTGCTGAAGTTTCTATAATGTTCATTCAAAATCACATGTTACAATGTTAGGATGAAATTGCTCAGAACCAAAAGATTTAAACTCTGTTCTAGATAACTTATGCATTTTAATAGTTATTTTATAACGAAAACATTAATCAATATGTTCATATTAAGACTATTCATTATCATAATTTTTATTTTACATTTTAAATAGTGAAATGGGACGGTCGCACGCGTCAGGAGGCGATGCGTGTTTTATAAAATTATATTGAATATAACGTTGCTGCGAAAGATGCCAGGAAACGTGCAGTTTTTCACTACCTGCAAGCATTTCCGGAGCGTCAGGGACGCTGAGGTATGCATCCCTATTGTCTCGCCGCAGCCCACGCCCGGCCGCATGCGGTGACTCATCGGAAAATACGGACGCCATTTCTCCGAGACGGGTAACGCAATTGCACCCTTTTCTGGAAACTTTGATGACGTTCAAGTTTCGAAGAATTTGGTGAGACTCGGACGTCTGTCAACAACGCCACGATTTGGCGGAAGGAACGGCGTGACGCGCACCCGCCAATCGCGGGAATTGAAGCGGGGGAAGGCCACGTGACCCGCGAAGCCGAGGAGGAAACTGCAAGACGCTAGCTCTGCCATTTTATTCCGATGAGGGAGACGATTAGAGTGGGCCTTGACGAGGTGGTGGCGAGGGCGAGTTGCTTTGACTCACAGAGGGACGCCAACGGGTGCATTGCCGCATCGCCGCCGCGCCGCCTTCCGAATACAGTGCCGCATAGCCTCACCGCATACCGCCTCTGGGGTCGCAGACCCTGAACGAACGCAGTGGGCCATGACTGGCGAAAGTGCCCAACCACGAGCCCAGAGTCACAAAGGGCTGAGGCGAGACGCATCCTGTCGACGAACGCCGCTCCCGTAACTAAGGCCGTGGCCACCTGGAAGGACGCCGCCTGCCGCTCGGCCGCTTTGCACCACCTGGGGCAAAAGGGAGAGGTGAGACAGAGCCTGCCGCGGATCGCACCACGCCGGGGCACGGGGCTGCCGCTCCCGCGGGAAAAGTCGTAATCGCCGGGGAGGACACAGCCCGGTAGCCGATGATGAACTCTGGCCCGTACGGCCATATAAGTTAGATATGAGGTTGTTTTAAGGATTAATTTTAGCCAGATGCTTCAACTCGTTCAAAAGGGAATATTAAAACCACCTTTAAAAAATGAAACAATGTGTTTAAATGTAGTGTTACGATTAGAGTTGGCCCTATCACGCGTGCCTCCCTTTAGGGAATCTGCGGGCTGAGCAGCCGGGGCAACGTTGGATCGGACGAAAAAAGTATCTATTAATGTCATAATGATAATAATATAATAATGGGGAGTTGCTGGTCTCCTATCGGACGCGTCCCCAGGTGGCGGATCGAGGAATGCACTTACCGGCCACGCCGGAGGGTAGGTGGGAAATAAAATACCACCCGTGGACCAAATCCAGACGCTGGCAGTGGCGTAAAAACGCTAGGGGAAGGTGACTCCGAAAAGAAACCCACGATGGAAGGTCCCTCAGGACAAACCGTTACGGTGCAGGGGATCAGAGCCCCAGTACCGGCAGTCGGGGTGGGCAAGCAGGCCCCCGGAGGTCGTCAACCAGCGACTGCAATCTCAGAGACGTGGACCGCTTGGCGCCTCTGAAATACTATACTGCGACAAGCGAAAGCATAGAGAAAGCAGGTTTTAACCCCTTTTCTGGGAAGTCAAAACTTCGGAGATCACCTCCAAGTACCCCCACGACAACTGGTGTACCCACAGGAGACAAGGCAACCCTGATCCAAGAAGAGCCCACGTCGGCAGGGAATAGTAATGCGAGGGGCTGGACATCAAATAACTGGGTGATGAATCAAAAGTTGTTGGAAGAGAATTCGGAGATTATTGCCCTATACAAAGTCAATTAATTATCAGCAGCAGCAACATCCTGAAAAACAACCCAGTTATAGTGATGGACACCTTGGCTATATCTCTAGAAGAGGTGGATGCTCTAAAGAATAGGTGGGAAAACATTAAAGACCAAAAGGGGATGTATGAGAAAATAGTCCTCCTAGAGAATGAAAAAAGGCCGAGAATACCAAACTCGGCAAACAGATAAATGAGACGTCGGTGAAAACAGCAGTCCCAGAAGAAGAGACAAGCTCCAAGTCCACTTCAAGACAAGAGGCCAGACAAGAAAGACAAGCAGGAGGAAGTCATAGAGCTGGTTACTGAAAAGCCAATCCAAAACCCCTATGAGAACTGGCAGAAAGTGGAACACAGGAAGACGGTGAAGAAAAAGAAGAATTCTACCAAAGAAGGCAATCAAACCCCCAAGGCAAGGATCAGAAGACCCACCAACCAGGCCATCAAACCGACCGCCAACTAAGGGCAATCATATGCCGAAATATTCAAAAGAATCAAGGAAGCGGTTGACGCGAAGCAACACAACGCTAATATCCAGACGATCAGGAGGACACGTAAAAATCCTCCTGATAGTCCTGGAGAAAGATTGTGACCATACTTCCCTAAACGAAGCAATCACCCGTGCAATAGGAGACAGGGTAAACATCAATACGTTTAACCCAAAAACCTTAATTGAATTAAGGAACATTGATGAGTCTGTCACCGTAGATGAGCCTGTTACACGCATTACGGGGGACTTCCCCCCGGCGACCTGGAGCCGGGGGGCTCCATATACAAGGTATATGGAGGCAGTCCGGTAACGACTGCACTGCTCCCTTCGCGCCAGGCAGAAATTCTACTCAAAGCAGAGAATTTTGAGATTGGCTGGCTTACTTGCCACGTTAGGATGAAGCACCAGGTCAGCAGATGCTTTAAGTGTCGAGGCTTTGGCCATATCTCCACCTCTTGCAAGGGCCTCGACAGAAGTGAAGTATGCTACAAATGTGGCAAAAAGGGACACTTGGTCAAGGACTGCAGAGGACCAGTTCAATGTATTGTCTGCAAAGACCAAAACCTAGAAGACAATCGTATGCTGGGTAGTTATAAATGCCCTTCCTTCACTGCAGAAGTAAGGAAACTCGGTAAAACAAAGAATGCCTAAGTTCCTACAAATTAATTTAGGCAAAGGAAGGCCTCCCAAGGTCTTCTCATTCAAAGGCAAGGGAAAGACAGGTGGATGTCTTACTGGTCAGTGAGCAGCACGATATTGACGACATATCCCTCTACCAGGACACGACCAGACGTGCAGGAATTATAATACTTAACTCCAAAATAAGAGTCTCTAAAGTTACAAACCAAGGGTAGAAATGGCCAGCATTAGAATATATAGTTGCTATTTCTCCCCCAACGACCTTATAGATAAATTTAAGAAGGAAATCGATGAACTGGAGGCAAGCATAAACTCAGCCCCAAGTGAAATAATATTAACTGGAGACTTTAACAGCAAGTCCCCGGTATGGGGCTAAAGCAGAACTGATCGCAGACGCGATATTGTTTGCGAATTTCTGGCTAGGAAGGACCTGGTAGTCCTAAACACAAGGAGCTCATGTACATTTCAAAGCGGCGCAGTTTCTTCGATAATATACTTAACAATAGGAACCACAAGGATTGCCAAGAATGTCCTGGATTGGCAGGTTCTCGACGTTGAAACACTTAACGATCACCGCTACATTGAATTCGTTACTTCATTCGCAGGAAACAACTAGAAGAAGGAATCAGCCAAACATCGGTCCATCTTGGAACACGAAAAAACTAAAAGAAGCTGATGCCATAAAATTCCTTGATGAAGCTAAATTACTGGAGTCCGTGGGGTGGAGTAATAGGAAAAGTGCAGAGTCCCTCGAAGAGGTAGTACGGGAAACATGCGAAACCGTTAAAAATACGTGTGACATCTCAATGCCCAAACGTAGGAGCCGGAATGGGGAAAAGAAGGTGTATTGGTGGACAGCGACTATTGCAGAACTTCGTCAAGCATGTGTTAAAGCTAGAAGACTTGCAACAAGAGATAAAACGGACATTCTGCTGAGGGAAAATTACAAGACGGCCCGCAAAATACTAAAATCGGAGATTAAAA